GGACACAGGGACATCGTTGGGGGCATGGGGGACACTGGGGAACCCCACAGCACCCGCGGGTCTGGGGACACAGGGACATCGTTGGGGACATTGGGGACATTGGGGACATCACTGGGGACATTGGGGACACTGGGGAACCCTGCAGCACACGCGGGTCTGGGGACACAGGGGACATTGATAGGGACATCACAGGGGACACTGGGGACACTGGGGACATTGGGGACACCGGGGACCCTGTGCAGCACCCGCGGGTCTGGGGACACAGGGGACATCAGTGGGGACATTGGAGACATCACTGGGGACATTGGGGACCCCGCAGAGCACCCGCGGGTCTGGGGACACAGGGACATCATTGGGGACATTGGGGACATCACTGGGGACACTGGGGACATTGGGGCCCTCGAGGACACCGCGCAGCACCCGCGGGTCTGGGGACACAGGGGACATTGATGGGGACATCACTGGGGACATGGGGACACCGGGGACCCTGCGCAGCACCCGCGGGTCTGGGGACACAGGGGACATTGGGGACATTACTGGGGACACTGGGGACATTGAGGACCCCCAGCAGCACCCATGGGTCTGGGGACACAGGGGACATTTGGGACATCATTGGGGACATTAGGGACATCGTTGGGGGCATTGGGGACATCGGGGACCCCGCGCAGCACCCGCGGGTCTGGGGACACAGGGACATCGTTGGGGACATTGGGGACATTGGGGACACTGGGGAACCCTGCAGCACACGCGGGTCTGGGGACACAGGGGACATTGATGGGGACATTGGGGACATTGAGGGACTGGGGACATTGGGGCCCTCGAGGACCCCGCGCAGCACCCGCGGGTCTGGGGACACAGGGACATCGTTGGGGGCATTGGGGACACTGGGGAACCCCACAGCACCCGCGGGTCTGGGGACACAGGGACATCGTTGGGGACATTGGGAATGTTGGGGACATTGTGGGTAGCATTGTCCACAGGTGCCACCACACCCCCAGGTGTCCCCGATGTCCCAAGTGCCACCACACCTCCAATGTCCCCAGTGTCCCCGAGTGCCACCACACCTCCAATGTCCCCGGTGTCCCCAGGTGCCACCACACCCCTAGATGTCCCCGGTGTCCCTGATGTCCCTGCTGTCCCCAGGTGCCACCACACCCCCCAAGGTCCCTGATGTCCCCAGGTGCCACCACACCCCAGTATTCCAAAGTGTCCCCAGTGTCCCCAGGTGCCACTACACCCCCGATGTCCCCGCTGTCCCTACTGTCCCCAGTGTCCCTGATGTCCCTGAGTGCCACCACACCCCAATATCCCCAGGTGTCCCCAATGTCCCCGCTGTCCCAAATGTCCCCGCTGTCCCTGGTGTCCTCAATGTCCCCGCTGTCCCCAGGTGCCACCACACCCCCGATGTCCCCAATGTCCCCGCTGTCCCCAGTGTCCCCAATGTCCTCAGGTGCCACCACACCCCCGATGTCCCTGATGTCCCCGCTGTCCCTGCTGTCCCCAGTGTCCCTGCTGTCCCCAGGTGCCACCATATCCCCGATGTCCCTGCTGTCCCCAATGTCCCCGATGTCCCCAATGTCCCTGATGTCCCCAAATGCCACCACACCCCAATATACCCAGGTGTCCCCGCTGTCCCCGCTGTCCCCAATGTCCCCGGTGTCCCCGGTGTCCCCAATGTCCCCGATGTCCCCAATGTCCCCAATGTCCCCGATGTCCCTGGTGTCCCTGGTGTCCCCAATGTCCCCGGTGTCCCTGGTGTCCCCAATGTCCCCAATGTCCCCAGTGTCCCCAGTGTCCCCGCTGTCCCCAGTGTCCCCAATGTCCCCGGTGTCCCCAGTGTCCCCGTGTCCCCGCTGTCCCCAGTGCCACCCACCGTAGCCATCGTAGGGGTCGCTGTCCAGCCCCGGGAGGCGCCAGCAGCGGATCCGAGCGTCCACCCCGGCACTGCAGCACAGCCCCGCGCCACCGCTGTCACCAGTGTCACCGGTGTCACCTGCCGCCACCGCCACCGCCAGCACCGGGCCCCTGGGAGGGGACAGAGGGACAGAAATTACAGCGGTGTCACTGCTGTCACCGGTGTCACTGTCACTGCCAGCACCGGGCCCCTGAATGGGACAGAGGGACAGAAATCACACTGGTGTCACTGCTGTCACCGGTGTCACTGCTGTCACTGCCAGTACTGGGCCCCTGGATGGGGACAGAGGGACAGAAATCACACTGGTGTCACTGCTGTCACCGGTGTCACTGCTGTCACCTGTGCCACTGACAGTACCGGGCCCCTGGACGGGGACAGAGGGACAGAAATCACACTGGTGTCACTGCTGTCACCAGGGTCACTGCTGTCACCGGTGTCACTGACAGTACTGGGCCCCTGGACGGGGACAGAGGGACAGAAATCACACTGGTGTCACTGCTGTCACCGGTGTCACTGTCACTGCCAGCACCAGAACCCTGGACGGGGACAGAGGGACAGAAAGCACAGCGGTGTCACCGCTGTCACTGTCACCCGTGTCACTGCCAGCACTGGGACCGTGGGAGGGGACAGAGGGACAGAAATCACACCAGTGTCACCACTGTCACCTGTGTCACTGACAGCACTGGGCCCCTGGACGGGAACAAGGGCACAGAAATCACAGCGGTGTCACCACTGTCACTGCTGTCACCTGTGTCACCACTGTCACCCGTGTCACTGCCAGCACAGTGGCCCTGGGACGATGACAAAGTGACAAAAAATCCCTGTACAATCACAGCCAGGTGACAAGTGGGTGACAAGGAAGTGACACCAAGGTGACAAAGTGACAAAAAGCAAGAATAAAGCCACAACCACCAATGTGACAATGAAGGTGACAATGAGACAACACTGAGATGACACTGAGATGACACTGAGGTGACACAGAGGTGACACAGAGGTGACACTAAGGTGACACCGAGGTGACACCGAGGTGACAAACCTGTGCCCGCGGAAGGCGTACACCGGCTCCACGTCCAGCGCCGCGTTCCTGAGGGGACAACGGTGACAACGTGGTGACAACGTGGTGACAACGCGGTGACAACGGCCACGGCTCCCCCACCACCCCGTCACCCGCGTGTCACCCGCGTGTCACCCGCGTGTCACCCACTTCCTGGGCACGAGCGGCTTCTGCAGGTTCCAGAGCTTGAGGGTGGCGTCCTCGGAGGCCGTCACCAGCGCCGGGTGACAATGGAGACAGTGACACCAGGGTGACCTTGGGGACACACAGGGGACAGTGGGGACACAGGGGACAGTGACACTGGGGGGGCCTTGGGGACACAGGGGACACCCAGGGGTCCTGGGGACACAGGGGACAGAGAGGGCAGAGGGGACAATGGGGACAGTGACATCAGAGTGGCCTTGGGGACACCGAGGGGACAGAAAGGACAATGGGGACATTGACACTGGGGTGGCCTTGGGGACACAGGGGACACCCTGGGGACAGAGAGGACAATGGGGACAGTGACATTGGGGTGGCCTTGGGGACACCCTGGGGACAGAGAGGACAATGGAGACAGTGACACCAGAGGGGCTTTGGGGACAATGGGGACACCCTGGGGACAGATGGGACAATGGGGACAGTGACACTGGGGTGGCACTGGGGACACAGAGACCCCCCGGGTGACACAGGTGACACGGGTGACACAGGTGACACGGGTGACACGCCTGTCCTTACCTTCCGGTGGCCGCAGTGGCCGCGGTGGCCCCAGGTCCCCGTCCCGCAGGTGGCACCGGTGGCTCTCTGTGACAACGGGGGGAGGGGTCAGGAGATGTCCCCAGGTGTCCCCAAATGTCCCCGAGCTCACCTCTGATGGCCCCAGCTGTCCCCAAGGTGTCCCTGAATTCATCTCTGATGTCCCCAGCTGTCCCCAAGGTGTCCCCAAGGTGTCCCTGGGTGTCTCCAGGCTCACCTCGGATGTCCCCAGGTGTCCCCAAGCGTCCCCAGGTGTCCCCAAAATGTCCCCAAGGTGTCCTTGACCTCACCTCGGATGTCCCCAGGTGTCCCCAGGTGTCCCCAGGGTGTCCCCAGGTGTCCCCAAAGAAATCCCCAAAAATCCCATGGGAAATTCTAAAAATTCCCGAAAAAAAACTTCAAATCCCACCAAAAAACTCCAAAAATATCCCAGGAAGAAACCCACTGAAAAACCCCCAAAAATTCCCCAACACCCAGAAAATTCCCCAAAAATCCTCCAAATCCCACCAAAACAACCCAAAAAAAAAATACCAGAAATGCCCAAAAACTCCCCGCAAAAAAACCCCTTAAAAATCCCAAATCTCACCAAAAACCCCCAAAAAAATCCTAGGAAAAAAAACCCAAATCCCCTTAAAAACCCCCAAACCCCACAAAAAAACCCCCAGAATTCCCCCAAATGTCTCTTAAAAACCCCAAAACACCCAAAAAACCTCTTAAAACCCAAAAAATTCCAGAAAAAGAAACCCCAAAAATCCCACGAGAAAAGCCTCAAACCCCACCAAAAAAACCCCAAAAATCCCCCAAAACCCACAAAAAAAAAAAATTCCCTAAAAAAATGCCCCAAAATCCCCAAAAATTAAAAAAAAAAATAATTTAAAAGTCTCCCAAAATCCCCTAAAAATCCCAAAAAATCCCAAAAA